GCTTTCGTCCGCCCTGCTCTCAAGTTCATCGGGCCTCGCTTCTCCTGCCACGGCCTCCTCCGTCTCACGCGTGTTGCAGGTACCGGTACAATGTTTCATGCACTTACTAGTACGCACTTACTAGTACGTCGGCCATTGTAGTGACCAGCTTTCTAAGCAGACGCCAAAACGGCCCCTGTGCCCTTCCAGAGGTTGGGAAGAGAAGCAGGTACAACACAAAGATCTGGTTTGGGTCGGGAATATCAAATACTGGTACATGAGAGTATGGTTAGGGTGGCTTGTACACGTGCTTCAGGATATACAGGCATGTGGTCCCTAAGCCCTAAATCCTTATGCCCCGTGCGAGTGTGCGAGTCGAAATTTGAATGCTACAATCTGCTTTCACCCCGTAGCACGTATACCTCCCATTGATAGTAATAGTTGACTAAGTAGAGCTTCAAGTATTCGTTCCTCGAACATTAACATTGGGTGGTTGTAATGAGCGCGAGTGCCAAAAATGTGGCTATTAAGTAAGCACTACACAACTACATATACAGGTCCGCTGGGGTGTAAGCTTTGATTTGCAGTTTGACGTGCTTATTCGAGGCCCTCAGGCTTTTTACTATGTCGTCCCTTCGACGTCACTACATGTGCAGGCCGCCTCGCGTAGCACCTGTCGCGTTCTCTGACTCTCCTACACTTCCCATGTCTGAACGCACAATTCACGTGCACTTTGGTGGTGCATTTTGGCACAGTCTTTTCTCTTTCGGTCGCTGCGAAGGGAGTTCGCACTGTGTTCTACTGGCAGGGACTTGTGCCGTTGGCTGCACAGTGTCAGCGCGCTAGCAGCAGCAACAGCTACAGCTACAACTGGCCCCACTAATCACGACTGGCGCAGATGCCCGAGCTCGTGGGCTCAGCTGCCACAGACCGCAAAGACAGGATATCAGTTAGCCCACAAAGAAACAATATCATCAGGACTAGCCCTGCAAGACTTCCTATTGTCGTTTGTGGCCTGCTCGTGGCCTTCCAAGGCTACCAAAAACGCCCGGTAGTGACGGTAGTGTCCAGAAGTAGGAGAAGCCGCGTAGTGAGCGACAACAGCAACCACACTGTAAAAGTTCCTGCAAATTCCTGCTAAACTGCTAAACCCTTTGGACACTCCCCGGCCGGAAGCTCCAAAGTAAGCTCATTTGGCAGAGTCAGGATGCCGCATCGACATGGCGCACGCCGGGTCTTGGAGGTGGGAATTGTCTCATGGGCAGAGACGAAGCTGGTCTCAGGGCACAGCAAGCCAAGGTCACCGGCGGCTTTCTGGTCAGGCCGTGGCAACCATGATTTACTTTTCATGTCACGAAAGCTCGCGTAGCAGGGCTTGAGTTTAGTCTTGCTCCATGTTTGGGAAAGGGGGAGAGTGGCTAAATTGATATATCATTAGCCGAGTTTTGTTGCAAACCAGTAAACTTGAGCAGCTATAGAACTCATCGGCGGCTGCCTCCTGCATAACTGCCTGCGCAATGTGTCCGATGTTTCGAAGCGTGGCTTGGGAGCACTCTGACCGG